TATATGGTAACATAAGAGGAGCAAGTAGAACGAATACGATAATAAGTTTTTTTATCAATCACATTATCATCAAACAATTTTAATATACACGTCTTCATAGATTTTTCTACTAATTAACGGCGACTGTTTGGTATATTTAAACTGCTTCAATTGGAGAATTTCTTCCATCTATTTAATGTAATCTTTCTTATCAAGTACAACAATGGAATTATCTTTATCTGCACGACAAATTACGATAGTATGATTATTTTTCAAAGATTTAATTGCATCAAATTCGTCATCACTAATATTCCTTATCTTTTTCTTTTTAACTGTTCTCATAAATATTTCTGAATAATTATACAATTTATGATCCATGGTAGAAAACACATTGGGATGGCAATACTTTGGGATTTTAAAAGCATTTAATTCCATATCGATTTTAAACTGGATGAAGTTTGTAATTTTGTTTTCAAAGTAAAAATCCCATCTTCTACATAATAAATGTTCTTCTGCTGGAGAATGATTATATGAGGAAATATTGTGAACAAGTTTTGATCGGAGTAATTCATAACTCTGACCGACTGTTCCATGATTTAATTTCTCTAATTTCTTTTGATATCTGCTAATGAACTTTTTGTGTCCTTTTTTAGATCGCTCATGTAAATATTTTTGTAATAACTCAAAATCGGAATAAGTTATTTTTAATTTTAAGTGATCTAGTAATTTATTAATTTCATTTTCATATTTGATGCTATCTTTATGTCTATTATCACATTCTTGCTTAAGACAAAAATATTTAAAGATTGAATATTCTTGAGAAGATATTATTCGTTTCTTTCATAGGTTAATTTTAACAAATGTAGGTGTAAGACGATCGATTATGCAAAGGCGAAGGAATTCAAAATCACATTTACACTTTTGACGTTTAATAGAGAGTTTTTCAACGTTTGTAATTGTAAGTGTTAAAAATATAACATCGCCATACTGGCAGCGAGCACATGATAAGTAACTTGAGGATAAACCACTAGAAATTAGTTTAAATATTATTGAATATAAAACTGCCACGAAAATCATAGTAGATTTTTGACAAAAATTAATTTATAATTTATTCGAGCTTTCGATAAGAGACACTATCACATCAGGAAAAGATGAAAGAATAAGAAAGAGCTAATAATAGCTTCATGTAAAAATGTTTAATTCAAATTTCACGTCATTTAAGTATTTGCCTTGCATTTGGTGTGTATATAGACTTTCTTTAATAATTCTTCTTCGCCAGTTTATCTCGATGGTTAGAGTTTCACATTGTATAAAATCAAATGAATGTTTTTCGTTATTAGCGTGTTTAGCTGTATTAGAATTCAGTTTATTTCTTGATGTCAGATTTGTGTTCCCTCATTCTAGTTTCCTTTTTCTTTGCTAGTCTCTCCAATATATTCACAATTTAAGCATGGTATTTTATATACTAATTTCTTTTTCTTTTTTGATTCATGTAGTCCTTTTTGGATGGGAAGAAATACACTTTTAATTGTAAAAGTTTTTCCAAAGATTAACTTGTATAAGAGATAGAAGTTTTTTATATATTGGTTTAATTCTTTGAGCTAATATGGTTGATTCTTGACCATAATAAGGGAGAAGAAAGTAAACTTTTTTCTTTTTTCATGATTGTTGTGTTTGTTGCTGTTTGGAAATCATTCTTTTAGTGATTATTTCTCCTTCACATATGTATCTTTTAATTAAATGTTGTGAATAACCATTCATCATTAAGGTTTCTTTCATTAATTTAAGTTTATTATTCTTTAATTCATCTGTTGAAGAAATTAGAAGTATATGAACGACTTACGTTCGAATTAAACCTAATTTATATTCTCTGCATTGATTACTTCCATATAGTGTAATAGGTTTTCTATACATGGCTATTTGATTTACTTTCTATGGTCGGTTTTGAATGCCGAATCCGGAAAAAATTAAGTTCAAAATCTTGAAGCGGGAATAAATATGAAATTCTAAGAGATGAGCAAAACTTTCATGTGTTTTTGCCGTTTCGAGAATCAATATTTTATAATTTTTCATCCAAAAATGACTCAAAAAGTCTAAAATGGACCTTTTCCTGTGTGATTTGATGAGGTCGCTCCTACAATAGTGGAGAAAATGAATAAAAAATTCGCTTCAGTTTTGGATTATTGACACGCTATCTAACTAGAAAAGTATCGCATCCGGAAACGCGAAATATATCTCAGTTTGAATGAAATATAAATTTCATATCATCAATTGTGAAATCTGTAAAGAAGCGAGATATATATCAAAACAAACGTATTTCAGCCTTCTCCTTTGCTGAAAGTTGTAATTTATGTTTTTTCATTAGCACAAAAGTGAATAAAGCAGCAACGACGATATTATCCACTTTAAATTTATTTCTATAATACAACAGCAACAATTAGAATAGGGGTGTTAGATGAGAAAGTAAGTATGGATTATCTCTGATATACAGCTTGAGGGATCTAGCTAACTATTGTTCTGTTTGGATGTTAAAAGGTACATCACACATTTTACGATTTTGCTCGAAAAAGTAGTTTCTAGAAAACCACAACTTTTGAAGTAAAATGATTCCAAAAAAAATTTAATATCCAAGACCACTGTGGATTTGAAAACTTTTTAAGGTATCCATCAAATTCAAATATATTGACATTCTTTGACTTTTCTACGTTTCTTATAAAACTAAGTATATTTAATATAATTGAAAAACATTCTTGTAAAATCAATTTTGCTGACGTGCACCTATGACGTGATTCTGTTGATATCAGATGGGCAAGTCCGGTATTTTTTCAGTCCCAACCCAGTCCCAGTCCACTAGAGATTAAGTCCGAATCAGTCCCAGTCCGCTATGCAGTTAAAACGTTTCAGTCCCAATTCAGTTCCAGTCCGTGACGAGTTAAAATTTTCCAGGTGAAAAGTTCCAAGGCGAAAGTACCATCGTCAAGTGGTGCTTTCCATATGTTTCGATAACATTGTGCAGGAGATGAAACTGTTCGTGCGATATCATATGACATGCTTTAAAACATTGACTCATCGAAACGCAGAGAAAAACATAAATAAAACAAACAGATTAAGAATTATCTTGAGACGTCAATAAGTGGTTTGTTAATAATTTAACCAAGAACAAATAGAAAATATAAACATGGACGGTGCTGGGATGTGAGAACTGTTCATTGTTTCAAGAATGCTTGTAATTCGTGTTATTTAACAATCGAGCACGACGAGTGTGTGAGATTAAGTGAGATCAAAATGAACGTCGAAACAATGTTTCAAAGTTATGATCCCGAATGCAAGATAATGTTGAGTAGGAACTTAGTTTCCCAACGACAAACAATCATCGTTTTGCAACCACGTAGTGATCACTTCCATGTGTGAGAGAAACTATATAGTCAAAAGGGCATGTGAAAGAAACGCAAGTACGGCTTGGAATAGGAAAATTTTCTTCTATTGGACTACAAATCGTCTCTTACTTGTCGATAAGAGGAATATAGAGCAGTTCATTGTTCGTTGTAATCGGAAGCCTCCAGCGTACAAAAACTTATAAGACTTCCTTCCAGAAAATCGGATGTAGTTTTCTCCCCTACATCATAGTTTAATCTGTGTCTTATAGTAACTTATCTTGAATACTTCAACTCGTCGAGCACCAAATATTCAACTAACCTGGCTATAGTATTTCTCCGAATGTGTCGCGTATGTGAATATTTCTTTTATGCATATTTATCTTACAGATTGTGATAATAATAACAAACAGGCAACATGGTGAATAAAATATGAAAATAACTAATTATTTCCTATACTAGTAATACGAAAAACAAAATTGAATTACACAAACGAAATGTTCGCTCAAAACGATTTAGATACGTTTCCTTTCAAGAACACGCAAAAGAATTACAAAAGCCGTTAAAACGGGCATTTCACAGTTTATTAAGTCGGGAGATCGACTACTCTTCTTCAACATTAAAAAAATTCCCTTGTTCCACAAAGATAAAAGGAAGATGGATTGGAAAACTATCCACAGCAAAGAATATTATCAAAAGGTAATGCGTTACACACAAAGAAATTACACCTTATTTATGATCTTCTTCACTGTTTTTTCATTTAGGATCAATAAATCACAAGAAGAATATAAGTAGATAAATGTATGGATTTTTAAACATCACCTGCACATAGACAACAATTACAAGCACGTATTTAATAACAGGTTGACCTTATTCTAATCAGTATGCCAAGCTTATGATGATTGTAAAAAATATTGGCATGCAAAAAGCTCGAGTGCGATTGAGAATAAAGTTGCCGATTGAAATGATGCAAAGCTTGCTTATTCTTGTACTATGCACTTCATCATCTTTTTGGGGTACTAATACGTAGAAATTGTTGCTTGAACTTTTGTCATCTGTAAAAAAACGCTTAACTATTAGTAACTCATTTGATTATTAGAAAAGAAGAGAAAGAATACATGTATGTATACATTGAAAGTACGTAGACGAAAGTATAAGGTATAAAGAACAGTTCACAGTAGTCACGGTGAAGAAGCACATCTAGACTGATTACGCTTTCGACAAAGAAAACAAGGATCAAGCAGATCATTCGACTAGACAGAAATGACGAGAAAACGCGCAACATAGAACGATTGAGCGAACATGATGTAAAACAACAATAAAGCATTTTAAATATCGAATAACAATTATAAAAACTTGGAAATAGAATCTAAATAGAAAAGAAACCATCAACATTGACTTTTAAGACTTTTGCGATTAACATAGTTATGTTGATTGCAAAAGTCTTCAAATCCGTATTCTTAATTTTGCCATTCAAACTCATCGAGCGTTATTGATCAATATTGACTAGATGATGAAACAATTCTCAAAAATCGATTCAGAATATTAGCGGTAGAAAGTCGACTTCACTCGATCAGCCTTCGAGTTAAAAACGGCACAGGAGTTATCAAAACGGAAGAAAGTCAATGATCACTGGATAGTGTTAGATTAAATTCGATTTGATTGAGTTTGTTGAGCCGCCTGACTTCTTTGAGTGATAATCATTCGAGATTGATTTTTCCGCGTGATAGTTATCTGACATGGTCCTAGGAGGAACGGCTCGCCGTCTATTTCCATTGGAAGATCTCTTATTATTGTCAACTTAATTTCACTACCTAAAAGACAAATAGAAATTTGGTGCTGTTGTAGTGGAGAGCTTTTAGTGGTGTCAGTTACCTTGCGCTATTCGATGACCACGCCTTCCTAAGCGTATTCGTGCTAGTTCAAAATGCTTAAAACCAATAATTTCTAAGTAACCATCACTACATGACTGTTCGCGAAATCGATCATCATCTGGCGCTGAGCGTGCACACCAAAGGCGATCGTAAACGCCCTGCCATGGATTTGTACCGGCTGCGTACGAAGCAATGTTTAGAAAACAGATGGCATCGGGACGAAAACGATGCATTTCATCGTCTATACTTCGTCCATCAACAACTAATTCAAAATAGTTTGCAATGTTTCCACATAAATAACGTCTGTCAATAAATGTTCCGCATGAGATACAGCCATAGGCAAGTTGGTTAACGATACGGTTGCTATACATTCGTGGATTCGCATTTCGTTTTAGATGGAAGTCCAATGCTAAAAAATGTAAGCGTACATCTTGATTCATTATGCTGAAACACTCGATCACGAAAAGCGAAACCGATATTTACCTATCTGCGCATCGGCACCAAACGATAGGTAATTATTGAACACCGGTTGCGGAACTTTGACGCTAGATGCTTCAGTGTGTGCTGCTGGTTGAACATCGATAAACCAACGATCTAATAAACGCGTTTCACCAGTAGCTAGTGTTTGAATCATAGGTGCCAGAGGTTCGCCACGATAACCCGGTCCCCACTAAAACATTCGAAGGTGTTATATAACTAGTCCACCCACGGAGTTTGTAGTAATGATTATTATACAGGACTGCGATACAAACAAATAACTTACTCCAAGAAATCTCGCCATATCGTTGCCAGTTCCTAGTGGAATAACGCCAACAGAAACAAAATCCAAGTATTGCATTTGAGATGTATCTAATGCTGAGAGAACCCATCCTACTGTCCTAGAATAGTCACATACACACTTATTGATCATAGCGGCCACTTTCACCTTACAAAATCATCATTACCCATCTCCTCCACACGCAATTATTCTTAAATTCTTTTCATTTCGATTTTCTCGCAAACCTTCATCTGGACCCTTGGATTTTACCAGATCATATACATTGTCTTCGCCGATTTGTGCACGCAATTGTTCAAAAACACGTTCACCTTGTAATCCACCGGATTTTGGATTGACAAACGCAATAATTTTTTCTCGATATGCGTCCGCTTCTGTGATATCCATTAATGGGCGTTGAACAGCTGTTGAATTATCATCGCCTGGTGGGTCCATGTTTGTATTAACACTATAATGATTAAGAAGTGCTTGTAGAAGATATTAATATCATAATCCGTGGTTCTATATTGATTACCAGCATTAAAATCTTCAAACGACAAAAGAAAGAAAAGTTTAGAAGCATGGGTAGCACGAGATACTTAATCTACGGTTTTCACAGTATTTTCCAAAACACAAAGATTCAAATACAGTCTAAACGCAAGATGCTCGCATCGAAAAGAAAGGCACCATTTCATAAGTCTGAGAATGAGTCATACAATCAATCATTAATCATCAGTCTGTGTGATCTATATTTCCTGAACATAAACTTCTCGCATAAATGAGTTGATTCATATTACATTTTCCGACGCGATGAATCAAGCCAGTCCGAACATACTTTTCCCGAAGACAGTGCACCTAGATCAGAAATTTTTGATAGGTGTTTTCAGCAAATAATGCTTTTCATTCATCAATTCATCGGTACTCTGTAGCATTTCTTCTATCAGTATCTATCTTTGTTTCTTGGTTTATTAATATCTCTCCATCACGTATTTTTGATAGGTGTTTTCAGCAATGATTATATATTTAATTGTTGTTGGTCGCATATAATTGGCTGTTTTATAACTTTTTGCTTCTCCTTACAGTAGAGAGCGCTTACACTTTTGCTAGCTTCCAAGCAAAGGATGCGTTCTCACTCAAACCATGAACTTATTGTAGTCGATGTTTGTTTTTGTTCCTGTGCAGAGATATGTAGTAAACAGATTCTCATAGGTAAAGTGTTGTTGTACGTTTTTATAACACTATCAAGCTTTAGTTTAATCATATTGGTTATCTTCTGGCACATACTCAGTAAAGGATTGAACGATCTAACGTTGTAGATGTCTTGTCAAACAATAAGCGTCAAAATATAAAAGCAATTAAAAATGGCTGAGCGTTCGTATACTATTCTATTGGTGAATAAGGTGAATAGACCGAACAATAACAACAAAAGATAGCGAAAAGATATTGACTAATTAGAAACGTGTAAGAACGTCTCTGCAATACAAGTAGAGATAATTGGCCAATGGCAGCCATAACCGTGAGACAACGCACGTCACAATTGAATGCCCAGTGTGCTTTACGTCTTGCTCCCATAAATAGGTCTCGTAGTCTGTGAAAAGAGTACATTCTGTTTTTTAACTAGTTGTAAGGAGCGAAGAGAGTAGAGCATAACATTTTTTCGCTACTCATGTTCTCCACAGACGGCGGAGCCGTTTGAAAGCTATGGGAAGTGTGTTAGTATTCAGAAAGTAAAATGTAGCACAATAAGCATGTTTTGTAGTCGTATGTGCATGAAAGTGTGTGAACCAGTGTTTCTAATGATTTGTCGGACAATCGAAAGGAAAATGGATTTCCAGTTTGAAGAATAAGTTTCCACCCTGTTTTCCACGCTGAGAAGGAAAGTAAGGAAAAGTGATCTATCGATCTCTCTTTGTTAAATGCATGTGAGCTAGGGAGCCAGTATGATTTCTGTTTAGCCCTCTAACTTTTATCACGATCAGACATCGCTGGCGTCTGGAAATTACCATGAAGAGGATATTAGTCAGACAGGATTTGTGTCTTTTATATACTCGTGCGAAATTTTTCAGCGTTTTGTTTCTTCAGAAGTGTTCTAGTTACAGCTATTCTTTTAGTTGCATTTTGATTTGAATTTAGATGAGTCATCTAAGATGACTCAGAACAGGACGTCTCATAATAAAGAATTTCTGTAAGTTAAGTTTGTCATCTTCCTGATTTCAACTATTAGAAACATCACAACAGTTCAAGAAAAAAATAGTGCTTGAGTCAAATGAATGTTTGAAATGCAAATTTTGTGTAGAGTTCACGTCAGAACTTCGTTTGTTTCACAGAAAGAGCTCAGTGTTCCGAAAAAGCTAAATAGAAGAAATCACCTGGAAGGCAGGCGCAAGAATTTGTGGGATATTCGTATTAAAGAAAAAGGTTTTTCTTAGCAGTGCCTCTTGAAACTTTTGTAAAGAGTATTCTAGAAGTGCTGAGGAAACTGTAAGATAAGTTTTGTTATAAAGTTATGCAACTGCTTCATATTCTACTATATGTTTTGACCAGCTCATGGAGTACAAAACGATCTTTGTATAGCGTGGTTATTTATTCCTTGTTGTTCCTAATTGAAGGAACGCGACTTTCTCAAAAGGCTTTAAATTGGGAATTTCTAAAACTACAAAAAATTATTTTCGAGGCTCCCGTTTTTGTGAGTCGCGCCACGAAATAGCTCTTTTGCTCTACAATTGCTATAAGAATAGTGATTGGGCTAGGACCTTGTTGCGATTCTAGAAGTTCGTCTAGGATTCTATGTGCTCGTGACACAATGCCAAAAGTTTTAACACGATGCTCCGCAACATGGAGACAAAAAATTTCGTCTTATTTTGAACAAAAGAAACTATACATCACTAAAAGAAAAACAAATATTTATTGTTATATATTATTTTTCAGATAATTCACATCACATGTCTGCTTAACTGTTAAACAAAATTTTAGAGATCATATTTTACAAATAACATATTTGAATCCTAATTTGAAACCTGTTCAAATTTCAAATTTTTTACAATCAGGTTAAAAACCACCGTCAACTAACAAGAAAGCGTTGTTAAATAAAGTGTATCGAAGAATAAATAGTCATATTATTGAAGATAGAAATAGACCAGGAGCAAGCATCACGTACATTCAGAACAAAAAAGATTTGAATGTGCGGTAATACACGACATTGAACTCAAAATAAAGAATTAATGTTAGAAATTTACTAACTACTAGTACATCGAAACACTGAGAAGTACAACAACGCTTTTCTTGTTAGTTGACGGTGGTTTTTAGCCTGATTGTAAAAAATTTGAAATTTGAACAGGTTTCAAATTAGGATTCAAATGTGTTATTTGTAAAATATGATCTCTAAAATTTTGTTTAACAGTTAAGCAGACATGTGATGTGAATTATCTGAAAAATAACATATAATAATAAATATTTGTTTTTCTTTTAGTGATGTATAGTTTTCTTTTGTTGAAACTGCCTTAGTATGAGATCAATCAACACTGTGTACAATGATAGTTTTTGTACTCCATGAGCTAGTCAAAACGTATAGTAAAATATGAAACATTTACATTACTTTATAACCATAACAATGCTGTCTTTTCTAGGACTGTTTTATTTTGGAAAGTGGTTATACAAAATTTTCGTTTCTTTTACGTTTCCTGCGTAAAATGTTTGAACTGATACGTTTGTGTAGAAATATTGCCCATATCTTCACACGAAACTATAGAAGAATTGTGAAATTGAAGGAAGACTTACGAGCACTGCATAATATACGCTGTACCAAAGTGATGGCAAAAATAGTTTTACGTATCATGTACATCCTAGCATCCATGTACAATCGTTACAATATTATTTTTGTTTTTAGATATAATCTGAAGAAGAAAATCATGAATTAACGATTTAAAATTAATTTATTTGAAAATACACTAAAGTGAATTTTATCTAAATATACAAACTGTATTGTAAGCAAATACGAGAGGAAGAAAATTGTTTTCTTTGTTGATTAGTGATGATAATTACTGAAAACTGTTTATTTGTATTTTGTGTCGAATTGTACAGATATTTGAACCAATAGCCGACTTTTTTATCATCAAATATTCCAACATCAGCAAGATATATATATATCTATACATAATTGTACTGATCAATCTGTGCCATTTAGCATAGAACATGACAGTTATTGTGTAAGCTATTTGAGCTATTTGAGCTAAACAAACAGGTTTTTTCTTTTCTTTCTCTCGCATTTGCTTACAGTGCAGTTTGTACATTTATATAAAATTCACTTTAGTGTATTTTCACATAAATTATTTTCAGATCATTAATTCATACTTTTCTTCTTCAGATTATATCCAAAAGCAAAAATATTATTGTTATGATTGTAAGATGTTGCTAGCACATTTAAAACTATTACACAAGATAAAAATGAACGTTAAATCTTAGACAAACGTTTTACTAGGTATATATCAGAATGTGACTGACATTATAAAAATTAGAGTTCCTTTAAGATAACAATCAGTTCGAGGCAAAGATACGTGTATAAGAATATGTGTTAACGTTTAAGCTACCCAACTATATTCTTCAAGATTCTCAAGTGAAAAAAATTTTGGTAGTTGCTGACGTCCTTTCTAAACTATAATCAGTATTCTTCAGACTTCCTAGTCTATGTTTATTACACTATTCAGGTTTCGTCTAACTTAATCATCAGTCCGACTTGTTGAAAAATAGGCATCACACTAAGAAGAAAAAAAAATTGTGACTGATTTAGACAAAATCTTTTATACTGTAGTTTTTCCCATATCTCATTTGTAACAACCTACAGGACAATCAACTAGTAAAAAGGTCTCTTATTTATCATCTTCAGTCCTATATTCGATGTATGCACGATTTTAACAGTAAAAAACATAAATTTTACCTCGGATGACATGAAATTCGACCATTTTGGAAAATGTTTTGAATGAAATAAAAATTGAGAAGAGAACTATAATTTACTTTTCTATATAAAAAAGATTGTTACCCTCTCAAGAGTTTTATTGTTCGAAATTTTTTAAAAGTGTTTCGAGGGTGCATTAGTTTTAAATTTGTTACTTACACTTTTATAGCCTCCTTTTGAAGGGTAGCATCCACATAGGTAAAAGAAAAACAAAAGTATGATTTTTTTTTCATCCATCTATTTCTTTTTTTCACTCAATACAACAGTCAGTCATTCATCAACTTCTTCAGCAAGATAATCTACCTGTTTTCTTTTTTGGACAGCAATGAAAGCACCGTCTAGTCTAAAAGGAAGAACAAGAAGAAAAAAATAATAATTCCAAATACTTTTTTATTGATATGTCACTTTTTTATAGTTCCAACAGCTGCTGTTACACGTACATAACAGAAGAGAAAACAATTTTTTTTTTGTTTCGTTTTTAGTATTCTTTATGCATAGTTTTATGTGTTATTATTGATCCAAAATAGTATCAAAGTGTCAATAATTATTATTCACCATTAGTCATACGAAAAAATAGACTATTATCAACTAGTAGAACGTCACTGATGCTGAATTCAGTTAAAATAGTCTACAATAGCTTATGTAATCGGATATTGAAAAATAATATTTTTCTGTATTCTCTTATTCTTTTCTTTTTATATGTATGCCTTAAAATAGCTAATTTTAACATATTTCCAATTTGTAAATATTCAACAAGTATTATTTTTATTTGTAGATTGTTGTCATACGTTCTAATGTCTCATAAACGTTTTTTAATCAATTCGATTCATCAAACAACATTTCATAATCGTATAACGGAAGAAGATTGTATGTGGCGATTAAGAGAACAAGAAATTGAGAAAGACAAAGATAATTTTTCAGATAAGAAAAGGACTAATTATATTTCAAAACGTTATTCAAGATCATCACCAAATAGAGAAAAATTGAAGAAACAAACAACATTTGACAATGAAAAATCCATTGAAAAAGTGGAAATTGAATTTGGTCCACCGTTACCGCGAGATATAAGCATAAATCTTGATAAATGGGACCATGATGGATTTAAAGAACTTTATCCACATGATTATGCAAAAAGAATTCAGCAAAAACGTGAAAGATCAAACAGTGAAGACAACTCAAAATCTCGTGAAAAAAAAGAAAAAAAAAAGAAAAAAAAGCGAAAATAATATGACGCTGATTATTATTGTTTTGTTATTCTAATCTAGTCAGATTATTTCTTTTCTTGTACATATGACAACAAAAAATATTGAAATAAATATTTGATATTCGTCGAAAAATAGACAAATTTTACGAATTTTATAAAAAAATTTTTTATTTTTAATGGATTATTTTAGAGCATCCTTCGTCTCTATCATAAAATAGAAGCAGTATCTCAAAATAATTGTAAAGTGTTTATTATGGATCCAATTTTTACAAAAAAACAAGAACAACAGTCATTTTTAGTTATTTTACAGTAATACCGAAGGATAGTAGCCCACTCTATGAACTATGATTTATGCATGAATATATAATCACAAATTACTGATTTATTTATTATCTGATTCTTGTCATTGTGTTTTAAGAAAATATACACATATTTTTGGTTCTAATACATAACAAACAAAATAAAATATTTAAAATTTTCTAAAACATTTTTATAAAAAACAAAAACTACTACATCATAGTGTTAGTATTTATTTACAGGACAGCAAGTGGCTCCTCATTGTTTTATCAATAAACGTGGTACATGATTTAAAAAAAAATGGCTCATTATTATTACTAATTCAAATTTAGTAGTAACAACATTATAACTCTAAATAAATTTGAAAATTGCCGTATAACATAACTAAAATATCACTATTAAAACAGTTTAGCGTTAATAAAAAAAAAAACGTACTGAACGTAAGTTGTGAGTTTGTGAATAATATTCTACTTGGTATTATTTCCATATAGTTATCATATCACCATGTAATTGTATAATTTGATTATCCGTTGATGATGATAATTTTGAGTATAAATATTGAATTAAATCTTCCCAATCATAAATAAATTCAAAATAGTATAAATTTTTCATACGTGTTAATATTGTCGAATGAATTAATTCAAAATATAAACATTTTTGTGTATGATAGTCTTTTCTATAAAATGACATTTGTAATGATAAAGTATTTAACATTGAAAAATAGGTTAAAATTTCATTTAAATTTGTATATTCACATTTGATTATCTTCAAATGATAAATATGATTAAAATTATTGAATATATATTTGGAATTAGTCAAATATTTTTGTAAACATGTATAGTTAATTTTTAACGTTGTTAAATAGGGTAAAATGAATAAAAATTGTTGAAAATATTTAACATTTATGTAGTAAGCTAATGATAAAACATTATCTACTGTATATTTAATAGTCTCTTTTTCTGATAAATTAATAATATTTTGTAATTTAATTGATGTTAAATTGGGAAATTGATGTAAACATTTGACTAATGATGAATGAGAAAAACGTTGTCTATTTGATAATTCTAATATTTTAACAGAAGAATAATGTACTGTTTTTATTTGGTCATTTATTAATGGATCTAAAATTAATGATAATGTGTGATTAAATCGTTTTGTATACAAAATATATTCATTTTTATCTAGCCAACAATGAATATTATATCGTTCCAATATTTTTAATGATAATAACAAATGATTTTCAACAAGTGTAAAATACGTAATGGTCATTAATAAAGATAATTCATTTAAATTTAATAATGGTGATAATGTATCATGGAGTCGAATACCATCAATACCATTTTTTTCATATGTTAAATATGTTAATGATAGTTTTTGAACTGAGAGTAAATTTCGAAGAATTTTATCCAATAATGTATAATCTAATATATGTCGTGCATCTAAAATGACCATAAAAAAAAACAAAAAACCATGTTAAAGCAGCAACTTGATTAATACTGACAAGATATAACATTTTCAATAATTAAGTTCCTATATTTATAGAGAATCGCCTCTTTTTACTTACCAGTTTTTCTAGTGGCTGAATGCTGACCATTCTTATAAAATCTTTTCCTAGCAGATTACTATTTCTAACCGTACATGCTTTTATTGATTTTTCCATGCCTACCTAATGTAAAATCAACTAATTTTGATAATTTAAATCTTAACTTGGAATAGTCGTATGTTTGTATACTTATATTATCATTTGAATCATGTATACGATATAATTTAACGTTAAATTGTTCAATACATGGTAGATTATCGAATAGTAATAATAAATCAATTAAAAGATTGAGTTGAATTGTTAATTGTTTTATATTTAATGTTTGTTGAACATTTTGCAGACATATTCCATATGGACAAGAACCCCATAAAGTACATTTTTCAAATGTTGTTCGACATGTTTTCTCTGTAAACAGAAATCGATTAACAATACGTGAATATGTATAGGAACGAATTAATGTTTGACCATTAAATTCCATTTTTAATTCATTTATTGAATCAAAATATTTTGATTCAAAAAATTTTTGTAATCCATTTGGATTTATAATTGACAATAATGATAATGATTTTACATTTGGTAATAAATAATGATATAATTTTGTTAATTCAATTTGATTAAATGCAATCGTCAAATTTGTAATATTTGATCCTATAGTTGGCAATAAACTGTTAAAAAAAGATTTAAATATATTTAATGATGTATTAGTTAAATCAACAGAAATATCAGATAAATAACGTTTTTCTCTTAGTAATACATTCATACGCTCGTTAACATCCAAGAATGAGTAGATTATATTCATCGTATTCAAATAGCCAAATATTTCAAATAGGCATAGATCGGGTAAATCATTAAATAGAGTTGGCATTACTAAAATTGAGAAGAAAAAATCGAATAGATGTGCAACGCTGCATATGGAATATGTTAAGAATGTTGTTTAGATGTAAAAGACTAATTCGTTCTGATGTATTAAAAAAAAGTGTTCATAGCCCATAAACTGGAAGCAAAATGACAAATTTTTGCGTTTTTTTAAGAGAAAAACGTTATTTATCTGATATTTCTGTTGATTTACCTAATACATCATTAAATATATTTAAATCTTTTTTTAACAGTTTATTTTATGTGCTCGTGACACAATGCCAAAAGTTCTAACACGATGCTTCGCAACATGGAGACAAAAAATTTCGTCTTATTTTGAACAAAAGAACTATACATCACTAAAAGAAAAACGAATATTTATTGTTATATATTATTCTTCAGATAATTCACATCACATGTCTGCTTCAAAAACTGTTAAACAAAATTTTAGAGATCATATTTTACAAATAACATATTTGAATCCTAATTTGAAACCTGTTCAAATTTCAAATTTTTTACAATCAGGCTAAAAACCACCGTCTCGAAATGGACGATTTAAAAATGAATGGTAATGGATCATTGACTTTTTTTTCATTATCATCTATGTAAGAATTTTAGAACAAATGGTCTAATAGAAGCGGAAACAAAATAAAATGATTAGTTTTTTGATAGATAATAGAGAACAGACGTATTGTTGTAGAAATATTCTGAAGTATAAGAAAATCTAATAAGTTACTAAGTAATAATGATACAACTTTTCGTTTATATAATGGGAATTTATATTCTCGATTTCATTCTGGTTCAAG